GAATACTTTCCGTACCCACTGTATATATATATATAATATAATATAAAATACACACTTCATATATTAAATTATATAGATTTATATATTCTATCTATCTAGTATTGTAAAATTGCAATACTAATATTTATGGCTAGTTTAAATTTCTTAATTATCAGTAGTTGCTCAAAAGATTTTAATATTACTAATGTTAAATTTTAACATTTATAATTCAAAATTTATAATTGTTAATATTAGTATTGCAATTGTGAAATATTTCAATAATAATATTTCTAATTTGTTTGATATTTTATGTAATATATTTAATGTAATGTTAATACTAAAAATAACAAAAAATAAAGTTATTGTTATGTTCATATATAATCACAAACTTTTGGGTCAAATTATGCAGCCCTTTTTTTCATATACAGTAGTCAACATTTGAAGTGTGTCTAAACCTTTCATCAAAGTTGTCCTAAAACCTAAAACCAAAAATGCGTTCTTGTCTTGGGACAACTTTGATGAACTTTTTTTGATCCACTTCCAAATATTGACTACTACTTCTATATATTTTATGCAGCCCTTTAAGCAAGCACAGCAAACCTGGAGCCTTTTTAAATCACATTTCAAATCACAATATTTAGCAGAATCACTCATTGTATTTTTATAGGTTGAGTATCAGGCTGGCTCTGGTGGCCACCTCCTGCCTCAAAAGTATATGAACGATCTGGACGGGGCTCTAATTCCTGTTATCCATGGAGGAAGCTCCTGCGTCCCCCATCAGGCCATGGACATGGAGTTTTTCTTCTACATCTCACTGAGCATTTGAACAATGGTGACTTACAAACGTTCCAGCCACAGGCAGCCTGTCAGACCTTCACGATCGGTACCAATGAATCACAGATGCAGATAGACAGACTCCGTATCTGATCTCTGACAAGGTATGGAGAGTTTGATGCATTTTCGAGGAAAAGCGCTTCACTGAAGTGGCACTATATTAGCGATCCTTTAGAATAAAGAAAGAGGTCTTGGATCAGCAACAAAAATAAAAACGTGAGAACTTTGCTGAGCTTTGCTTCTTCAGTTGTGTTTCCAGGGTCTGATCGTTGGATGCTGATTGACGAATGTTAGTTTGAACGTGAACAGAATTGTTTATGTATGACTATGATGTCAGATATACTGGTAATTATAATCGTTACTTGATTACACACATGGCAACCGAGCATATGAAGTGCTGTTTCTTTATGTCTGTTTTTTCTG